GGCCTCCCGTGGTGGAGCCCGGCGCCCGGGAGTGCTGGGCAGCGCGGGGAGGAGGGTCGGTAGAAGGTGGCAGCTAGAGAAAGGAGCTGCACAGGGCTGCTCGGGGACCTGAGGGCAGGACAGCCTGCCCCTCCGACCCGACCCCCTCGTCTGCCACAGCCCCAGGAGCCATGCTACACCCCTGCGATGAATCCCTCTGTGCACAGCAAGGCCTGTGAGGGGGTATTGGGGGCCACACTCAGAGGCTTTTGGAAACGCACCCCTCCCAGCGGCCCCTGAGCCCATCCAGCCATCCGCGCTGGCACTGGGAAGTGGAGAGGAGGCCGGCTCCTCGGGATTGGGCCACCATCTGAGAAAGCAGTCAGCAGAGCGGTGGGCTCAGAAGAAGCAGAAACCTGGAGAGACATAAAGGAGGGTTGAGAAGGCCATTTAGGGTCAGCAGGTCAGCCCTCCTTCCTTGAGAATGATGTGCAACCTGACGTCCCCAAAGGTTCCTGGCAGGGAGGCTGGTATGGCCTGCCCACCCCCCGCTGGGGCTCAGGACCCTCGGCATCCCCCCTCGCTCACCTTGGGTCAGAGCCTGTTAGGAGAGAATGTTGAGAGGAACTGGTGTTCTGTTAGTAAAAGTTTTTAGTTTTTCTGGTTTTTCTTGTTCTCCTGTAATTTCTTTGATTTTTCCAAAGCAGACTTCTTCTTGGGAGATGATTCAAAGGATTTGAGAATAAAATAACAAGGTAATTCATTTATGGTAAAGAGCACTAGCCTGCCGTCATCTGGTGTCTGAATTTCCTCAGACTGCTCACTACCTTTATGCGTGGCAGAAAATGGCAAAACGCTTGGCTGACGGAGGGGCACGGCAGGGAGCACCCACAGCTTTGTTCCCTCTTCAATGTACATAATGCATTACCTGAGGAATCCAGCGTGAAGACCAGAGCCATGAGTCCCACCAAGAGCCTGAGACAAAAAGGAAAAGATGAGCCCCTACATATACCCATCAAAATATCCTCCCATATTTTGGATCAAATGGGAAAGGTTAACAGAAGTTCTACAATCATGAAACATGACTATATTAAAGCCCTAAATTGCCTAAATCTGGTAACAGTTCATTGTCAACCTTCATAAAGCCACATGGGGACCACCAACCTACCTGGGAACCATTGCACAAGAGTGTGGGGTCATAAAACAAACAACAACCTATCTTGATTTAAACGTTTGATCACTTGTTCATCATAGACTTTTCACATTTATTTTTATTTTTTTAAACATAATTCATTTTGCCACTGACTGCGTCTGTGGGTCTGTTGGTCCTCCTGCCAGGCTGGGGTAGTGTATGGGGGCACAAACTTAAGCCCTGCCCATATTGAGACTGATTGACATCCCATTTCTGGTTTAGTCCCTCTGTGGTCTAGTGTCCTACAGGCTGCTGCCCTAGGCGAGGGAGGGGGGCGTTTTGCTGGGAGTCCCCAGGGTAGCCCTGGCTCAGTCCTCTTCCCCAGACCATCTCACCTCACCTGGAACAGTTTCTAGCTGCAGGATTCCACAGCCTGGCTGCAGGCACCTGCTCCCTCCGCCTCTGCAACCTTTTAACAAACATCCTGTATTGGCATGAGCTGTATGCAGGAGGTCTCTGTCCCACACAGGGCTGTCCTACAAAGGGCTGCTCAGGGGACCTGAGGGCAGGACAGCATGCGGTGGCTCCCAAGTAGTAAACAATTCAGTGCTGAAAGAGGATAGTGCAAGTAATAGACCCAGAGA